GGTTCATAAAGGGCTCTAGTTTATAACCGGCTCTGGTTTAAAAAGGGCTCTGGTTTAGAAAGGATTCTGGTTTCAACCGTTGCGTATATTAGCTGCGACACATGAATCAAGATGCTATGACCGAAAACATTTGATTGACAGATGACCGTTGATATATGATTGGCCGAATTTAGGTGTTCAGGCTGACGTAGAACTAACTGGCCTGCAGGAGATAACAGAAAAAAAAAAACAGATTTTAGGACAGGATTATTTTTTTAAATAGAAATGTGCTGAAATTTGGGACAATATTGTCTGATAAAGAGAACATTTATATACATGTTTAAGCAGAATGATTTGACATTTAATTATCACTTCCCTACGACTTAAGTGTTGAGAAAAAGAAGGACCGAGCAAGAATCTGAGCCAGTATTACCCCTCCTGGATGTGCATAAAAACTGTAGTGGAAGCTGAAGGTAAAGCATGTATTGCTGTTGTCAGCAAAAGAAAGATCATGCTCCAAAGAAAGAGTACCGAATACGACCACTTCACAAATTCAAGACAAGACACAAAATGAGTCCTGGCAAAATAAATCTGACAGTTGAAGAACTCAAGGCTGAGCTTGAAATTATCAAGCACTACCAGAGAAGAACATTTGGTAAAGAAATCAGTTCTTTAGAAGATGGTAAGGCTTTAAAAATAACCAGCCGCATATACAAACTCCACCCAGTTCTTCAAGATGGCATTCTTTTGCTTGGGGGCAGCCATGCAGGAGGAGGTAAAACACCATGGCATTGTGGACAAAGACCCTGCAGGTATCAGAGCTAATTCTTCATGCTCTTCAGGAAGAAGTTGGTCATGGTTGGTGCAACCATATTCTGTCAAAACTGCCCCAGAAATACTGGAGCCAGTTCGGCTGCTAGGAGGGTACTGTCTAAAGGCGTTGTGTGAAGACGGCTCCATGATCTTACAGGACAACAAAGGAGGGCTGACCTGCTGAAGAGCAGAGTTATACCTGATCAACCACCCTTCACCAGAACTGGGCTCGAATATTTTGCTCCTTTTTATGTCTAAAGTCAAAAGCAGCATTATCTTTGGACACAGACTCTTTCATTAATGCTCTGTGCAGATTTGTTGCAAGAAGTGGTCAGGTGATGGAGCTTCAGTCTGATAATTTGTAAACTTTGTTGGTGCTGAGCGAGAGCTGAAAAACGCTGTTCAGGAGTGGAACATCTCTTAAATAGAGAACGCTTTAACTCAACAAGGCATTAAGTGGATAATTATTCCTCCATCTGCATCCCA